CCCAGCTCCCTCTTTCTGCTTCCTCCCCACCCCCCCAGCTCCTCCATACTCCCAGGGCTTTTTCTTGAGACAGAGCCTACAGGCCAGCACCACCACGCCCTTCCCTGTACTGGTGCTGGTCCAAGTGTCCCTCGGCTCTTTGGGGGTCAGGCTGCCGGGCCTCTGCGGGGCCTTCCTACCTTCACACCCACCCCGTCCCATCCAAGCCCGGGGTTGGGGGGAGAGAACACCACCCCCAGCCCCCTTGCAGGCCGGGCCCGGCCGCTTCTCTGGTCTCTGCACGCCACCCGTGGCCGCTCAGGGGAATTCCACAGTGAATCGGGAGATGAGAGCGAGCCCTGGCCCGCAGCCCCGGAAAGTCACCCCACAAAAAGCAGGCCTGAGGTCAGGGCGGTGGGTGAGGCCCCAGGAGGCCGAGTCGCGCATCCAAGCCAGCCTGGGCAGATGAGTCTGTGAGTCTCTTCTCTCCAATGAACCACCACTATCTACCTACTTACCACCTTTAATAAAAAGCCGGAGTGAGCCCGGTGCTGGTGGCTCACAGCTGTCATCCTAGCTACTAGGCTGAGATCCGAGAATTGCGGTTCCAAGTCAGAACAGGCAGAAGTCATGGGCCTGAACTCTGGGCCCGGGCGCTGTCCCTCAGCTCTTCAGCTCAAGGCTAGCACTCTACCACTTGAGCCACAGCACCACTTCCCGCTTTTTCTGGTATGTGGTGCTGAGGCATCGAACCCAGGGCCTCATGCATGCAAGGCAAGCGCTCTACCACTGAGCCACCTTCCCAGCCCCCCCATTTGAGACTCTTATCTTCAATGAACCACTCAACATCCAGAAATGGAGTTGTGGCTCAAGTGGCAGAGCACCAACCTTGAGTGAAAAAGCTAAAAATCGGTGCCCAAGCCTCAGAAAGAGCACACACACACACACACACACACACACACACACACACACCCTGAATAGGTTTGGGTATAACTTTTTTTTTTTTTTCTACTAACATGGAGATTCTCAGGGAAAGAGCAGAACTTGAAGTTGGGTTGGGAAGGAGGAGGAAGAGGGGAAGGGAGGGAGGCGAGGATCCCCTTGTGCCAGGATCCCACTGTGTTCCTGCCCTCTAGTAACCCCAGACAAATGGTCACCAAGGTTGTGGCCTTGGTACGGTGCTGGCCTCAGCTGACTAGGTCAGCAGGCCCCAGACAAGCCCAGGCTTGCTTTGTTTGCCCTGGGGAGGGAGGGAAGGGAGGGAGAGGAGAGATTGGAGAGATTCCACCTCTGTTATCTACAGCCAGGGTCCTTGCGCTCTGGCCTCCAGTCTGGTTTTGGGGGCTATGAACAAAAGCTGTTGGCCCAGGCCCCAGTGTGTCCGTTCTTCTGTCCCGGGAAGGGTACAGCTCCTTCCTGGGCCCGGCGCTCACTGCTTCCCGGGCTGGGGTCCGGGCCTGCCCGGATGTGGGGGCCACAGGAAGTCTGATCACCAGGGCTTGCAACCGCATAAAGGTGTTGTCCGCCAAAGGCTGGCGCTCTCCCACTTGAGCCACGGCTCCGCTTCTGGCTTTTCTGGAGATGGGAATCTCCCTGACTTTCCTGCCGAGGCTGGCGTTGAACCTGGGTCCTCGGATCTGTCTCCTGAATAGCTAGGCTTAGGTGTGAGCCACCCACACCACGCCGTTTACCGCTCTGCGTTTTTCTGTCATCTTTTCAAAACGTCCCTGTGCATTAGTCCAAACAACTAGGAAGAGAATTGGCGATGGGAGGACAGGCATATTGTAAAGCTTGGCTCGGAGGGGATGGACGGACGGGCAGGCAGATGGATGGATGGACGGACAGACGGATGGATGGATGGACGGACAGACAGGCAGGATGGACAGCTGCCGGGGGTGGACGGATGGATGGACGGGCAGGCAGATGGATGGATGGACGGACAGACAGGCAGG